GTACCATGAGTCTGCGAATGACATGTGCTATCTCATTTTATTATGGTAATTCCCACACACGTGTCGCCGAACTTGGCGGAGACACTTTTACACACAGACGCTTTCACACAGAAACGCTTTTCATGCACACACACAGACGCATTTCCACACAGAGACTTTTACACAAAAACACTTTAACACACAGACGCTTTTATACACAGACACTTTTACACACATACGCTTTTACATGCAGATGCCTTTTTACAGACGCACACATACTTTCACACACAAACGCTTTTACACACAGACGCTTTTGCACCCAGACACAGACACTTTTCCACACAGACCCTTTTACACACGGACGCTTTTACACACAAACACTTTTACACACATACGCTTGTACACACGGACGCTTTTATACGCAAACACTTTTACATACAGACGCTTTTACACACAGACGCTTTTACACTCAGACACTTTTACACACAGACGCTTTTCCACACAGACCCTTTTACACACAGACGCTTTTACACACAAACACTTTTACACACATACGCTTGTACACACGGACGCTTTTATACGCAAACACTTTTACACACAGACGCTTCCACGGAGACTTTTACACAGAGACGCTCACAAAGCGCGGCACCACTGGGTGACCTCAGTTGCAAACAAAGGTGCGCAAACATAGTTGCAATGGAAATGCTAAAAAATCGCAAAAGTGTACAAGACCAGGCTCAGTACCATGATCAACGCACAATCCAATGCAAGGCATCCGCTCTTTGAGATACAAAATAAGCTCGGCACCATGATGCCGTGGATGACCTCAGTTGCAAACAAAGGTGGGCAAACACAGTCGCAATGGAAATGCTACAAATGCAAAAGTACACAAACAAAGGCTCCGTACCATGGTATCCAAAAGAACCTAGAACTCCGTGCGAGAATGCTGTGAATGATTCCACAATAGCAAGTTCGATATCATGATGGCAAGGATGACACCTGTTTCACTGCATTTCTCCGATGTCCCTACAGGATGGAAAAAAAAATCTTTACAGACAAACAACAGTTGGCTACTGGTTTTGCATGTTCGTCACGAACAGTCTCTCCGGACAAACACTGCTACAGATTAATTTGCACCAGGGCATCGAAGAAATCATCTGCACAGCTGCAAACACAGATGAAGGTTTCTGCCTCCTTCCAATGGCACATTTCTTCAAAACAACTGGCCAACCAGCTTTTACCAGATAGTGTCCGGTTTCTGGTTGCAAAGAATATTTTGGAGCCAATTCAGCGCTCCCAGGCACAAATGAAAGAATGTGTCGTAGAATTTGTTCATCAAAGACATCCGCCCTTGCACGGATTCCCTCCACATTCCCTCCACGGTCTTTCTGGCAGAACACACTTACATATCCAAATACTTTATGCGACATGTTTGTGCACCAAAATTTTGTATCGGAACTCATCCTCCGACATGTCTCCAAGATGAGATCGCTTGCACCCCACAACTTCGAACACCCATGCCACTTCCTCATCCTCCGGCGGTCTCCACGCGGCCATTGCCGAGCGGCCCAGACAAAATTGAACGGTGCAGTGATTCCCGTATTATTTTTGCCACTGTTCATGCATTTCAATGAAAACAACACATATATGTTTTTCGTGCTATACATCACATAGATCCACTGCATCGTCAACAAACACTGCAATTCTCGAGATCTCACAGACAGACCCTACAGAAACCTCGAAAAGTGCAAGAAATGTTACAGATACCCGTTTGCCAATCGTCACTTGTTTCACGAACATTCAGCGTACATATAAGAATATGGATGTTCACTCTGTGCACAATGCATCTTGTCTCTACGTCCACGTCTGAGCCCAGGAAAGAGGTACTTGGTAATCTGTACAACTTCATGCACTAACCTGCTACACACTCTCACAATTCAATGCAAAAAATGTGTTGGTCGAAGCCTGAGACCACGACTCCTGCGTTTGACAAGCAAAAATCATTGTCGCATAGACATGCAAACTGAACAGTGAAGCTCACTATGAACGGTCAAAGTACACACAAAATCTTTTACACGCAAACGCTTTTACACATGGTGCTTTTACACAAACACACTTTGACACACAGACGCTTTGACACACAAAAGCCTTTACACACAAACGCTTTTACACACAGACGCTTTTACACACAGACGCAACGCTTTTATACACACAGACGCAACGCTTTTACACACAGACGCTTTTACACACAAAAACTTTTACACAGAGACGGTTTTACACACAGACGCTTCTACACGCAGATACGTTTTACACACGCACACACGCTTTCACACACAAACGCTTTTACACACAGACGCTTTTACACACAGACGCTTTTACACACAGACGCTTTTACACACAGACGCTTTTACACACAGACGCTTTTACACACAACACTTTCACACACAGAGGCTTTTACACACAGAAGCTTTAACACACAGAGGCTTTTACACACAGAAGCTTTTACACACAGGCGCTTTTACACACAGACGCTTTTACACACAGACGCTTTTACACACAGACGCTTTTACACACAGACGCTTTTACACACAGACGCTTTTACACACAGACGCTTTTACACACAGACGCTTTTACACACAGAACACACAAAACGTCCATCGCAATTTTTCCTCAGTTTTTGACGTCCAACGTCCATTTCGTACGAAACGGTCGCAATTGAAAGTTTAAAATTACAATTTTCCTCAGTTTTTGAGTCCAACGTCCATTTCGTGCGAAAGGGTTGCGATTGACAAAGTAAAGTCGCAATTTTTCCTCAGTTTTTGACGTCCAACGTCCATTTCGTGCGTAAAGGTTGCGATTGATAACTCAAAGTCGCATTTTTTCCTCAGTTTTTGACGTCCAACGTCCATTTCGTGCGAAAGGGTTGCGCCGGACGCTTCAAAGTCGCAATTTTTCCTCAGTTTTTGACGTCCAACGTCCATTTCGTGCGTAAGGGTTGCGCGGGACACCTCAAAGTTGCAATTTTTCCTCAGTTTTTGACGTCCAACGTCCATTTCGTGCGTAAGGGTTGCGCGGGACACCTCAAAGTCGCAATTTTTCCGCAGTTTTTGACGTCCAACGTCCATTTCGTGCGTAAGGGTTGCGCGGGACACCTCAAAGTCGCATTTTTTCCTCAGTTTTTGACGTCCAACGTCCATTTCGTGCGAAAGGGTGGCGCGGGACGCTTCAAAATCGCAATTTTACCTAGGTTTTGGACGTCCAACGTCCATTTCGTGCGACAGGGTTGCGTTTCGTGGCGCTCCGGCGGCACCGCCCCCGCCTTAAGAGAGAATAGAAGAAGAGCGAGAGGAGATCTGCAGATGTGAAGGTGTGAAGATCTAGATCTGCA